GTCCGGATGGAGCCTGTCCAGAAGGGTTGTGAGTCTGCAACCCATAAGGAGCTCAGCCGGGCTCCTCCCAGTTGCGGTGCAAGGCATGATGTGTTGCCTCAGGAGGAATGAGGCTAACTTCTGCCCCCAATCCCCGGGACCCAACTTCTTAAGAGCCTCTTTGGTTGTCCGAACCATCCGTTCGGCTTGCCTGTTTGTGGCTGGATCAAACGGCGCAGAAGTAACATGCTTTATGAGGTTGTCCCCCCAAAACTTAGCGAACTCAGTGGAAGTAAATTGGGGCCCGTTATCAGACACTAACACGTCCGGCAACCCGTGGGTGAAAAAGACTCGGTGCAATACATTAATAACAGCTGTGGACATGAATTACAGCTGCAGAAGTAGTTGTGCGCATGTTTACAACCGCCAACCATTTTGAAAACGAATCAACTAAAATTAAAAACATCTGCCCTTGAAAAATCAATATGAAGCCTCGAACAAGGCTTACTGGTGCTCTCCCAGTGTTGTATAGGAGCTTGAGGAGGGTCAGGTCTCGACTGTTGACACACCATACAATGCTGGACCCAGTCCTCAATGTCCGTGTCTAACTTAGGCCACCAGACATACCTCCTTGCCAGAGCTTTCATGTGGACTATGCCTGGATGGCCATCGTGGAGAGCCTCTAACACACGCTCCCCAAGCTTTGGCGGCACCACCACCTGGTTCCCCCATAACAAACAACCTTTGTTTACAGAAAGTTCTGTTTGCCTTGTGTGGTAAGGCCAAAACTCCAGTTCCACTCGACCTGCCGGCCACCCCCTCCAAACCCAGTTAAGGACTCGGGAGAGGGTGAAGTCCTTAGCTGACGCAGCAGCAATGTCCGATAAGTGGACTGGAGGCTGAGGCAGTTCGTCGATAGCCAGCACATCATATGCGGGAGCAGGGTCAGAGTCAGTTTGTGGCAGAGGGTAGCAGCTGAGAGCGTCCACGTGTCCAATTGCCTTGCCAGGCCTGTGCTCCAGGTCAAGGTCATAAGCGGACAAAAACACAGCCCAGCGCAACATGCGGGGCGACATGACGTGAGGCATTTGGCGGTCTGGAGCAAACAGTCCCAGGAGCGGTTTGTGGTCCATGACAAGGAGGAACTGGTGGTCGTACACAAAGTCATGGAATTTTTAAATTCCTGCCACCAACGCTAGGCCCTCCTTGTCGATCTGTGCATAATTTTTTTCCGCGGCCGTCAGTGACCGGGAATAATATGCGATCGGCGCTTCCCGCCCATTTTCCATTACATGGCTCAAAACTGTGCCAATCCCGTACAAGGAAGCATCAGCCGCTAAAACCAACATTTTGTCCTCATTGTAATGAGTCAGAACAGCATTAGATGACAATAGTTCTTTGTCTGACACAAACGCTTTTTCCTGCCTTGCTCCCCACACCCATTTCACCCCTTTGTGCAGTAAGGCATGTAACAGCTCGGCTACGGAAGCCTTGTGAGGCAGAAACGAGTGGTAAAAGTTTAATATACCGAGAAATGATTGCAGCTCTTTCTTTGAGGTAGGCTGGGGTGCATTCTGAATAGCCAACACCTTATCTGCAGTCGGGTGGACCCCATGTTCATCAATCAAGAACCCTAAGAATTCTACTTGCGACACCCCAATATGACATTTTGACTCTTTTACCTTGAGACCTGCTTCTTTGAACCACTCTAATACAGTCCTGAGGTGGTTCAGCAATTCCGGTTCGTTTGACCCAGCAATAAGCATGTCATTGGAATATGGGACTACTCCCAGCAACCCTCGTAGGAGACCCTCCATAAGACCTTGGAATATACCAGGGGCGACATTTACCCCAAACTGTAACCGATTTACCCGGAAAGCACCTCTGTGAGTCAC